CAGGCGAAGGCGAAGCCCAGACCCTCTCCATCCTCCTTGGAGCCCTTCCTCAGTTCATGTAGGGTTTAGGGTTTAGGGTTTAGGGTTTAGGGTTTAGGGTTTAGGGTTTAGGGTTTAGGGTTTAGGGTTTAGGGTTTAGGGTTTAGGGTTTAGGGTTTAGGGTTTAGGGTTTAGGGTTAGACCCTATACCCCGAAGTAACCTCAGTAGGTCAGTAGCCACATTACAACAAGGCCCTTTTTTGGGTTGGTTCCTGAAACCCTAAACCCCAAACCCCAAACCCCAAACCCTAAACCCTAAACCCTAAACCCTAAACCCAGGGATAGTGACACTGGAGTTGAGATGTAGGTGCAAAGAATTGCAGGTGACAAGCTGGGTGGTGGGGTTTTTGATTTGTGTTTCGTGCTAGCCTTGAGGCTTTAGGGTCTTCAGTGTCTTAAGTCCACAGAGCTTCGAGCGCAGGCCTGCTAAGTAGCTGAGGTACCCGTTTCCCTTGGCATACACATGTTACAGTTGCATGTTCAACCCAGACCCTGACTAAACCTCCTCCACCCCAAGCCCTAACACTTCAAGCCGTCTATCGCTGCCCTAATTAGGCTTTGAAGCTTCAGAGACGTGAAGCTGCGTCTTGAAAACTTTCGTGACCTTAGGCTGAGGACCTCCACTTGGGAACATAAATTTTGGGCTTCGGGATTGGGGCTTGGCTTTCAATAAACCCAATAGACCCCCACACCCGAACGGGCCCCGCCGCAACACCTAATGTGCCCCCGAAAATCGTGTGGCAGCGCAGCTGGATGTCGGCCGGTGGCAGGCCGCTGACAGCGGCCAGAGCTTCGACCAAACCTGAAATTTAGGGCTTACCCTTAGGCTCAGAATAGCGCAAACAACTGTTATCATAAGGCCCTTGGGCCCAAAAACCTTAAGCAACCTTAAGCTAAGAGCCCTTGGAGCCTTAAGGCTAGGGTTCAGGGTTCAGGTTCAGGGTTCAGGGTTCAGGGTTCAGGGTTCAGGGTTCAGGGTTCAGGGTTCAGGGTTCAGGGTTCAGGGTTCAGGGTTCAGGGTTCAGGGTTCAGGGTACAGGGTACAGGGTACAGGGTTTAGGGTTTAGGGTTTAGGGTTTAGGGTTTAAGGTTTAGGGATTTTTTGGGTTTAGGGAGTATTCGGGATTATTGGGGTTTAGGAACACTGAAACAACGAGCGACACATGGAACATCAACAGGACATCCTCCGATGGTGCGGGGGGGCGGCGGGGGGGGGGGGGTAGGGTTTAGGGTTTAGGGTTTAGGGGTTAGGGCTTAGGGCTTAGGTTTAGGGTTTAGGGCTTAGGGCTTAGGGTTTAGGGTTTAGGGTTTAGGGTTTAGGTTTAGGGGGATGGTCTAGGATTCACAGATCTGACTTTGTATGTGTTGTTGCAACAGGTCTCCTTCCAGTTGTACTCTTCAGCCTTCGAGCCATAATCCCATCACCTAATATTAAACGGGCGCCCCCCCCCCCCCAACAGAAACTCGAAATGTGCTTTTATTATCAGGGGAATGTTTTTTTTCGTCCAAATGTCATGTTTTGGGTCCAGGGGTTTAGGGGGTTATGGTCTAGGCTTCAGGGTAATTGCGATAGAGAGAGAGAGAGAGCAAGAGAGAGAACGAGAGAGAAAGAGAGAGAAAGAGAGATAAAGAGAGAGAGAGAGAGAAAGAGCTGCACTCACGCAGCACAGCAAGGCTCAGACAGAGGCAGGGGAGCTGCAGGATCTTGGTTGGTTTGAGGCTTTTGGGAGCCCTCAACCCATCCCCTATTTCGGAATAGGGTTTAAAAGGCGGGGTCGGTTTCGGCAGGATTTTGCGGAAAGTGCTTTTATAGTTAGGGGTGCGTTTAAAACAAGGGGGCAGTGAATAAGCAAATTGCGCGGTTTTGGGGTTTAGATTTATTGTGTAAAAAGAAAGAAGGCTTCGGGTTCAGGGAGTGGGTTTTAGGGGGTTCAGTTTAGCCCATGAACGCTTAAGCAAGGAAATTGCTCTAGGTAAGGTTTAGGACCTTAGGATGTAGGGCGCAGGATTCTAGACCCAGACTAACCTAGGAATAAAGAGGGTGCCCTTTTTGGTTTAAAGGGGCTTACACAGGAACCTAAACCCTACGACCAGGGAATAGAAACCTATTCTGGGTCCAGAGCTTGGAAGCATGTACACATCGGACATCGGCTCAATGCAAAGCATGGGGTGTGCGAGACCACTTCGCCGACACTACCCAGGGAAGAGCCCTAAACCCTAAACCTAAACACTATTCGAAAATCAAGCCCTAAACCCAACCCCAAACCCAAAATCTTAAACCCCAGACCCAAAACCCTAAACCCTAAACCCTAAACCCTAAGCCCTAAGCCCTAAGCCCTAAACCCTAACCCTCAAACCCATCGACCCTGAGCACGAAAGCGTGACCATGCCTTGGCGCGCGATCTTCAAAGCCGTCGGGTCGTGAGGCAAGCGCCCCAGCCACACTTCAACCAGGGCATCAGCCATGGCAGGAAACGGGCTTAGGGTTTAGGGCTTAGGCTCGAGAGCATCCAGTTACATTCGTTGCATGCTGGGAAGAAGAACTAGGCCCAGGAGGAAGCTAGGAAAGACAAGGGTGCCCTTTTTAAGGTCTTAAGGGAATAGTAAGGGAGCCCCAACCCTAAAACAAAGAAATAAGGGCCTACTCCGGGTCCTACAGGGTGGGGCCCCCTAGTTATAAGTAGAGTTATAAGGGCCCTAAATTGGGTTATAAGGACCCTAAGTTAGGTTATAAGTCCCTTAACTACAGTTAGTATAGTAAGGGGGCCCCACCCTGTAGCTAGTAAGACTATCGGTTACTTAATCCCCCAGCCCCAAACCCTAATCCTTCAACCCTGCAACGAAACACGGCCATGGCGACACTTAACTTTGCCACTGCGGGAAGGTGTTACGGTTTACGTTTTAGGGATTAGGGTAAGGATATAGGTGGTTCTAGGTCATGGGTTTGTCTAGGGCTTGGGGATTCAGGTTTTAGGGCTTGGGGGTTTTGGGATTAGGAATCAAGCTACAAGGGCTATTGTTATCCTAAACCCAAAACCCTAAACACCCGAAACCCTAAACCCTAAACCCTGAACCTTGTTGAGCTAGCGCTCTGCCTTCTCTCCGGCCTTGGGCAGCCTCAAGAGTCTGATGCTATGCACTGTAGGGTTTAGGATTTAGGGTTTGTAGGGTTTAGGGTTTAGGGTTTAGGGTTTGGGGTTTAGGGTTTAGGGTTTAGGGTTTAGGGTTTAGGGTTTAGGGTTTAGGGTTTAGGGTTTAGGGTTTAGGGTTTAGGGTTTAGGGTTTAGGGTTTAGGGTTTAGGGTTTAGGGTTTAGGGTTTAGGGGTTAGGGGTTAGGGTTTAGGGTTTAGGGTTTAGGGTTTAGGGTTTAGGCTTTCGGGTTTAGGGGCCAAAAGCCTAAATTCCTACAATGTGAGGTTTAGTGTTCAGGGTGCTTCTTCGCGGGGGCGTCCGTCATGACAAGAGTTGTATCACTTTTGCTTAGGGCTGAGGGTGGGGGTCAGATTTCGGGCTCAGGGACCCGGAGCCCTCCTACCTCTTGTGATCCCTTCCCCAAATACCCCCCCCCCCGCCCCCCCCTCCCCCCACCACAAGCCTGCACTCTGAGCAGCATCACCCTAAACCCTAAACCCTAAACCCGAAACCCTAAACCCGAAGCGACTACAACAACACGGTAGGTGTTGGCTCTTCATGTCGACCGCAGACTTCTAGGGGTTCTACCTTGGACCCTACCCCTGGGTTTCGGGGTTTCTTTCTTACTACCCTAAACCCTAAACCTAAAGCCTAAGGCCCTTGTAAGGGTTTTGGGGTCCCTTTTTAAGGATCCCTAAAGGAATATAAGGGCCATACTAGGAGTTTTTTAGGGTTCTGGGGTATCGCTTTAAGGATCCCTAAGGGAATCTAAGGGGCATATTAAGAGTTTTTAATGGGAAGCTTCAGGGGTACGAGTCTTCATCCCTTGAGCAGAACTTCTCAAGTGCCAAGCCGTATTCCCGAAACCGCCCTTCCCAGCCTTTTTGTGGCGTGTGGGGGTTTACTTCTTATAAGGGGATCCTACTATTTGGGGGCCTGTATTAGGGGGTCCCTAAACCCTAAACCCTAAACCCTAAACCCTAAACCCTAAGCCCCATCTCTGGGGTCACTTATTTTCGTACAACCCCCCATGTTTTGTCTTGCGCGCCCATTGTCCACCACGCTGGCTCTCTCCCCAGGAGCAGGCCACAACACCCCAGGGTTTAGGGTTTAGGGTTTAGGGTTTAGGGTTTAGGGTTCAGGGTTTCGGGTTTAGGGGGTTAGGGTGAGGGTTTAGGGTTGTGGGGTTTTAGGGTTTTGGGGATCTTAGTTGCTGAGTTTCCCCAAAACGTGCACACTTTTAATTCTGAAGGCTTTGTAGGATTTAGGGTTTAGGGTGTAGGGTTCAGGGTTTAGGGTAGGATTCGGGGTGTGGTCTGCAGCCATGGGGGGGTAAACGAAGGGAAATCGGCCAAACATCGTTAAAATCAATCTTCGGCAAAGGATGTATTTGATAGCTCTCCTGAGCCATGGGGACCTGGCATTGAGCCTGACACGGACCCAAACAAACTTCACCGTCACCCTAAACCCTAAACCCTAAACCCTAAAGCCTAAACCTAAACCCTAAACCCGACAGGCAGGCTGCCCTGTCATGCTTCGGTGATGAGAGGCAAACAAGGCCACTGCGGCTTGAATCGGAAAATGGCCAGTTTCGTTTCGGGCTAGGGTTTAGGGTTTAGGGTTTAGGGTTTAGGGTTTAGGGTTTAGGGTTTAGGGTTTAGGGTTTAGGGTTTAGGGTTTAGGGTTTAGGGTTTGGGGTTTAGGGTTTAGGGTTTAGGTTTAGGGTTTAGGGTTTAGGGTTTAGGGTTTAGGGTTTAGGGTTTAGGGTTTAGGGTTCAGGGTTTTAGGGTTTTAGGGTTTTAGGGTTTAGGGTTTAGGGTTTAGGGACCTCAGTAGGTAACGGGTTTCTGCTGCCATCCTGTCTCCAAAGACTTCGCCGAGAGCACGTCCGTCTTGGAGTAATGTCCTCCAGGAACACCTGCACAACACCAAATTATGTGTGATACCTTGGGATGTTTCCCCCCCTATCCTAAAAAGTCCTTTATAGGGATTATAATACGACCTCCTATTATAATCCCTATTACGGACTGTGATTAATTAAGGGGGAACAGCCCAAGTGATACGCTTGGGATGGTTGGGCGTGTACCGCACCAACAGTGGTGGGATGAACTCTAGTGCTTATTCTGCTGTCAGGGAAAATGATCCAGCTTACTTTCTGAACACTAGGCCTAACTGCCTAACATCCAGGACAACAGCTTTGTGCCATGCACGCCTGCCTCTAAACCCAAAACCCTGAACCATGAACCCGAAACCCAAAATGGCGACCTCGCGCGCTCTCTGTGTGTTCAGCACTGCCTTGGGTATGTCTACCTGGGATTACTAGAACTCGGGCGAGGTCAGCCCTGAACCTAGGGTTCAGGATTTAGGGTTCAGGGTTTAGGATTTAGGGTTTAGGGTGTAGGGTTCAGGGTTTAGGGTTTAGTGTTTAGACGAAAGCAGGCCAAAACAGCCCATCGCTGAACAGGTTCGGCTGCGAGCTTGCAACCAAACCGAAGCAATCGCAGAGGCTGACTCCCCTGGTGTAGGGAATGAGGGAATTAGGGGGCGCTATATACCCTGCAAGGGATTCTAGAGGGTACCCCTAAACCCTAAACCCTTAAGCCCATATATACCCTTCAACAGATTCTATAGGGCCACCTCCTTCCCTCATTCCCTACTAAGAACCAGCCAACTGAAGCCAGGCTCGGAAGAAGCCAATTTTCCACACACATCTCAAAAAAAAAACACGTCTAGGGTTGGCCGGGCCCAGGCTCAGGGTAAATCTACCACAGCACCCTGAACCCTAAACCCTGGTCCCCCAAATAACGCCGCCGCACCCCCCCAAAAACTCTCAACCCGCCATCTCGGCAAGCCTACCGGCGGGTAGTCGAAGTATCTCTCCTCCACTGCAGGGTTTTGGGGTTTTGGGTTTGGGGTTTCGGGTTTAGGGTTTGGGGTTTAGGGTTTAGGGTTTAGGGTTTGGGGTTTAGGGTTTGGGGTTTAGGGCTTGGGGTTCTCTGATGCTCCACCAATACGTCGATAGCCCTTTCTCAAAGAGAGCCAACTACACTGAAAACAGATTTCTACTTGGCTGCACTTAGGAGGGCAGTTTAAAAAAAAATAGCTGCTTATTAAGAAAACCAATAAGCCCAAAAAAGGCCAAAGATCCAGAGTTACAGTAAAGCACCACAAAGTCTGAACGCCGCCGAAGTCTCCAGTGCGATGACCACCGGCTGAAAGACGTCGGCATAAGGAATCTGTGCCACGGCGGCTCCAGGGGTTTCCGGGTTTAGGGTTTAGGGTTTAGGGTTTAGGGTTTAGGGTTTACTGAGGGTGAATTAGTGTTTTTGTGCTGTCAGACCTTGAATTGCTAGATGTTTCATCTTCCGGAAAATCTCTGGGCTCCGTTGGCACATGTGACCAAACGTGCTAGGAAACGTACAGCCCAAACCCTAAACCCTAAACATTACAAAACAGTAACCCTAACCCTATGGGGTGCTTGTAAGAAGCTGCTGTAGGCGGTTGGAGAGTGTAAGGCACCAGGGGCGAAAGGGCTATCATCATCACAAACAAAAAGGAAGAAAGCTGCAATTACAAGGCTTGGTTAATGAACAAGGGAACCCAGTACCAAAAACAGGGTAATGGGTACCACCGGGCTGCCAGGTTATCCCGAGGGAGAAGCAGCCAAGGCCCTAAACCCTTAATGTTAACTTCATTTTTCTACCCCCAATTACAAACCCCCCCCCCCCCCCCAAATTAAGGAACCCCTGTGCGGGGACCGATTGTTTTGTTTGTATGAGCCCTTGTGGGTAGGTGAGGGCTTGCCCCAGCTCAACAGGGGGTCGGGGCGAAAACAAACAACAATTGAGACGTGGGGGAGTGGGGCGGGGTTATTCAAACCAGGTCAACGTTAACCCGAAATCGTTAACCTAAACCCTAAACCCTAAACCCTAAACCCTAAAACCTAAACCCTAAACCCTAAACCCTAAACCCTAAACCCTACAACGCCCGCCTTGGCTCGCTCGCACTGCTGCCGGAGGAAGCGGCTCATGCCGGGAGAGGCCAGGGCGTAGACAACGAGGCCTGGGCTGCGGCGTTTAGGTACCCCTGAGGTTTAGGGTTTAGGGTTTAGGGTTTTAGGGTTTAGGGGTTAGGGGTTTCGGGCTTAGGGTTTAGGTACCCCTGAGTACCCCAAGTAGAGAAAAAGGGAAAGAGAACACTGATCAAGGTACCTAAGCCCTAAACCCTAAATCCTAAACCCTAAACCCTAAATCTTAAACCCCTAATAGTCTGCTGCTGGGTCACTGCCGTCCTGGGCGGCGGCATCTACAATGTGGTCGACTTCCTGCCGGTGGGAGCTTAGAGTGCGAGAAGCTTAATTGAGGTTTAGGGTTTAGGGTTTAGGGTTTAGGGTTTAGGGTTTAGGGTTTAGGGTTTAGGGTTTAGGGTTTAGGGTTTAGGGTTTGGAGTTTGGAGTCCAAGAAATTCAGGATTTAGGGTTTTTTTGGGGGGAGGGGGGAGTGGGGGGAGGGCTTTGTTGAGTTTGGCGCCTCTGCAGTGGCCGTTGATGCTTCTTGCATGCTTTAGCGGTTCGGGGTGTAGGGTTTTTGGGGCTAGGTTTAGCTAGACCCTAAACCCTAAACCTAAACCCTCAACCCTAAACTCCTTTGGGCCTTTTGGGCCTTTGGGGTGACCACTCTGGACGTGCAAGCTGTAGGAAGCCTGCCCATCTGATGTCTCGAGTCTCGAAGGCGAGTGACGACTGCGAAGAAGAGTTTAGGGTTTAGGGTTTAAGGTTTAGGGTTTAGGGTTTAGGGTTTAAGGTTTAAGGTTTAGGTTGTGCTCGCCTGGGATGCTCTGAAAGTCTAGGCGCTGTAATAGCAAGCTTCTCGATGTAGAATGACCCTAAAATCCTAAACCGAAAACACTGAGCCCAACATACCCCAGACACCAGACCCTGAACCCCAAAACCTCGGAAGCCTATAAACCCGATGGAGCGCTGTGCTGAACCTAAGATCATGGGTCCTACAATCTCACACAGCACGGCCTCTCACCTGGAAACATTGCCACGGATGCACCAAGGGTTGAAATCTCCAACCCTAAACCCTAAAAACCCTAAAGCCTGAACCGTGGAGTCTCGACTGGGGATTTCAACCCTCGGCGCATCCGCGGCAATGCGTGTCTCCTGTATACACGTACAGGTAGGGGACCGCCCCCCCCCCCCCCCCCCCCAAAACCCTGAACCCTAAACCCGAAACCCCTAAACCCAGTTGTAAGTATAGTTATAAGTTATAAGGGGCTTGAACTGGGTCAGAAGTACGATAATCACGGTAACTGGTCCTTTAACTACAGTATGCTAAAGGGGTTGGCCCTCCCTGTCACACAGATAAACCCTGACACAAGACCCTAGACCCAAAGCCCCAAACCCTAACGCAACAATACTCGCATTGCTCTGCAAATGCCTGGGTTCCCGATTTAAAAAGAGGTGGGGGTTTAGCGATCTGCCTCCCAAAAGAAGCCCACGGCCAGCTCCCAAAGTAGTTTCGGATTTAGGGTTTCGGGTTTAGGTAGGGCTTAGAGTTTAGGGTTTAGGATTTAGGGTTTAGGGTGTAGGGTTTAGGGGACTGGGCGGTTGCAAGAGCGAAATGACAACTAGTATAATGAATACTCCCGTGACAGCCCAACCCCTAAACCATAAAAACCTTAAACCCAAACCCTAAACCCAAAACCCAAAACCCTAAACCCTAAACCCTAAACCCTAAACCCTAAACCGCACGCCTGAAGCATGCGGACATCAGAGCAAACGGTGATGCTTCCCACACACGACTCAGGAAATTGGTCCAGAGCCTCGCGGCGGTGGTCTCAAGCTTTAGGGTTTAGGGTTTCGGGTTTAGGGTTTAGGGCTAACAACAAGATTCATAGCAAATATTTATCAGGTGTTGCGGTTTGCAACTTTCAACTCGGTATTTGGGTGCCTACAGGCTACACATACATTTAACGCACATGTCCCCTTTTTCGGGTACCTAGCTTACTCCAGGTGGGGTGTTGTGCCTCAAGGCTTTCAGAGTTTGAGGTTTTTAGGGCTGAGGGGCAAGTATGGAATCTCGGGCCGTAGGGTTTCGAGGCTTTGCGTCTGGGGGGAGGGGGAGCTGAGTATATCGAGTTGTTGAGGTTTCAGCATGTAGGGTTGCCATGCACCCCTAGCCCATAAAAACCTAAACCCTAAATCCTAAACCCTAAACCCTCAGCCCTAAAGCCTAAACCCTACACCTTAAACCCCAAGCCATGCATCCTGGTCTTCAACCCCTCACATTCAGCCGCTAGGGTTTCGGGTTTGGGGTTTAGTTAGGGTTTTGTGTTTGGGGTAACAGGGTTTCGGAACAATATTCCGAATGAAGCGGTTCGAATTACTGCAAAACTCAGTTTTTTTGATTGCTCTTGTTTCTCTCAGCCTCCTTGCCCCGTCGACACAAACATGATGTAGGTCTGTATCGCCCACAAGCCGCCTCAACGGCACATATGCTTCAAACTGCATACACGTTTTACTTCGGGCAAAACGAGCGATGAGATCAGATCTATTTAGGGTCGAAAGTTCCTATGAACGCTAACGACTTAAGACGTCTAAACATGTCTTGCGCCGGTTCGCACCTTGCAGAGCATCAGGTACACCACCTCGGCCGACGCGTCTGACACGGCATAGAACCTCGGAAACAACTCAAGACACAAAGCAGGTCATGCAGTGAGCTGCCGCTGCCGTCGTGTAACACTATTCACGTGAATGCCGCTTTCAACCAAGCATGGATTGGCAAGAACTCTCACTAAGGCATTCCTGTTGGGATGTTCCCCCTTATACCAGCAGTCCGAAAAAGGGATAAAAGTACCCCTTATTACCCTTTTAGGGAAGAATTTGTAATTGCTTGCTTGGGCCGGGGTTCTCTGAGTAGCCCAGCAACCCGATTACAATAAGGGCACCCTGTTTTGGGCTGGTTACTTTATAAGGGAACCCGTAACCAAAAAAAGGGTAGAGTGTGCCACTGGACTACCCAGATCTTGAGCAAACAGTAGTCGTAGAGTGGACAGGGTTTAGGGTTTAGGGTTTAGGGTTTAGGGTTTAGGGTTTAGGGTTTAGGGTTTAGGGTTTAGGGTTTAGGGTTTAGACAGCATTCACTGCGCAGTGCACAGTTCAAGGTTTCAAAGTTCCCCATGCCAAATCAGCACGCAGCCTCGGAGTTCAGATCACCGCATAGGGAAACACAAAAGAAATGCCTACTTGAGGGTGCAAAGCTTACCAGTAGGGTTTAGGGTTAGGGTTTAGGGTTTAGGGCTTAAGGTTTAGGGTTTAGGGTGTAGGGTTTAGGGTTTAGGGTACCCCTAAACCCTGAAGCCTAGACCCTGAAGCACATAGAAGAGCACGTCGGGGGAAAACCAGGCACCTCAAGAACGTGGTAGTGTCGTCACGCGCAACACGCCCGCGTAGTGATGTGTCTTTCAGGAGCGTGCGTTAGGGTTTAGGGTTTAGGGTTTAGGGTTTAGGGTTTAGGGTTTAGGGTTTGGGGTTTGGGGTTTAGGGTTTTGGGTTTAGGGTTTAGGGTTTAAAGTTCTCTACCTTCTCTCAAGATACGATCTGTCACTTGCTGGATTGCGAAAGCTCATCTTGTTAGCTGCTAGCTCATGTACCGAGCTATAGAGGATGCGAGATTTCGCCAGATGAGCTGTTCACATGCCGAAAAGAATGTGACACCTGCAGGGCACTACCTTGCTTACGAGATTGCGCCGGCTGCACAAAATTTGGAGTCGGTTGGTTCAAGTTCGGTCGTTCGCAATAGATCTTATAGTACGAGTTTCGGAGTATGGACAAGACTGAAGCTGAGGTAACAACACACCTACGATTCTAGCATCTCTCCTCCCTCCCTAAACCCTAAACATGTAAATTTCTATTCCTTATTGAGTTTAAGTACCCTGAGACATGCAACATGTTACCCCACTATGGCAAAGACTTAGGGTCTAGGATTGAGGGTGGCTGGCGGGATAACCTCGAGAAGGAAAAAAATCAAGAAAATGCATACCCGACACGACAATGTAGATAGTGGGGTTTGGGGCTTGGGGTTTGGGGCTTGGAGGTTTGGGGTTGAGGGTTTAGGGTTTCGGGTTTGGGGTTTAGAGTCTTGTGGGTTTAAGGCTGTCCTTTTTGCTTTCTTGGCAAGCCAATAACCATACTAGGAATGGGCGCTGTGCCCGTGTGGGGTCGGTTACTTGTATCCCTAAACCCTAAACCCTAAACCCTAAACCCTAAACCCTAAAAGGGCTAAAGGATACCACTGGCTACCAACCAAGCATACATAGGTTTCCGTAGGTCGGCATCTGAGGGTTCAGGTTTGCCAACCTACGAGCTCATAACCCATGGGCCTAAACCCTAAACCCTAAACCCTAAACCCGAAACCCTAGACCCTAGACCCTAAGACGCTAGGAACCTAACCCGAAACCCTAGAGAACCCTGGGTTTCAAAGTTCAGGATGTATCATACGAGAACCAAACCCCTTTAAAGAAAAGGGAATGATGTTACCACTGGAGGGCTCTTACAGGATTGGGGTTCAGGGTTCAGGTTCAGGGTTCAGGGTTCAGGGTTCAGGGTTCAGGGTTCAGGGTTCAGGGTTCAGGTTCAGGGTTCAGGGTTCAGGGTTCGGGGTTCAGGGTTCATGGTTCAGGGTTCAGGGTTTAGGGTTTAGGCGCCATCGGCTTCGCGTCCCTGAGCCAACGCAAAGCCCAGCAGCGTCTTCCGTGGTTTGGCGGGTGGCTCGGTTGAACCTGAACCGGACTTGTTTCACCTTGGGGACCAAGTGAACCCTAGAATTGAGGTAATATCTGCCCCATACTACTATCATTCCTATGTCTATGAACCATGAACCCTTTTAGGGTTCATGGGGTCCCCGAGGTAGGGTTTCGGGTTTAGGTTGGGATGGTTAGGGATTCGAGAGTATAGGCAAAAAGTATACTTAAAAATATCCTGACCCAAAAGATGTACTCGTGTAGTATATGGCACTGCGAGAGATAAAACACAGCAATATCATTCAAAACAACATTTTGGTAGTACTTCCCAAGTCCTACTGTGCACCGACTGCACCTCAAGCAGACCACACGTCGTTGTCCTTTTGGGGGTAGTGGCGTATCCCATCCTGCTGGGGCTTCCCACTCGCTTCTGGCCATAGTTTATTCTTGTGGCACTGAAGGAATACCTTTCTTAACGGATCTGAATTTGCACATCGAAGGATCTGACCTAGAAGCTTAACCCGTCGTAGATTGTGAAGCTCTCTGTATCTTGCGTTGGTCGCTCGGCTTGGTCAAGCAATAGCTGTAGTGTTGGTGGTTCAAGTATTTTCACGCTTTATACACAAAGGTGGGAGCATGCTTAGATACTTTTTGCGAGTTCCCCTCATCTGTAATCAAACCAGCTGCTTGCTGTAGTTAGATTCATAGTTTCCAATTTTAGTTTGCCAGTGATCGTGGCATCATAAGCAACTGGCTTCCATCTCTTGCTTGCTTGCTTGCTTTGCTTGCTTTGCTTGCTTTGCTTGCTTTGCTTGCTTTGCTTGCTTTGCTTGCTTTGCTTGCTTTGCTTGCTTTGCTTGCTTTGCTTGCTTTGCTTGCTTTGCTTGCTTTGCTTGCTTTGCTTTTCAATATTCGGGCTTAACTTGATCGAAGCGCGTCTTACATCTTGTACTTGTCGTGTGTCGACAAAACTCCACGACGAATGTTGACATCCCGAAGAATATCTTTCGCAGGTAACGAGCTTCATGTTCCCTGGTTTAGGGCGCACCATCTTGAAAACATGTGGCGCCAACATTGCATAAAAAAAGGAAGCGTACATGAGAACACGAGGCAGTATCATAACATGAAACAAAAAAAGGCATGGTGTACTATACATATGGTAGAAAACATCTTACAGTGCAATATATATGTACATATATATATACATATACATACATATATATATATATATAGTATTGTATACACTTTCCAAGAACAGTGCATCGGTTCGGCGGTGCAACTCGACGACAGCAACGGCAACAGCCCTTGGTGAGGATCAGTGGATGTGCTCTTCGCTGCCTTCCCTCTGCTTAGTGTTTACTTGAGGACTCCATTGCAGTTCCTTTTGGGGCCCCTTCCGGCTTTTCCATTAAGTATACCACCCAAAAAGGAACTACATTATCATCGGGTAGGGTTTTTGCGGTGTTTGCATTCAGTCCTGGATGTACCGACGGTATCGATTCTCCAGCGATTTTTTCTCCCGTGGTTTCGTGCCCGTCCTTCTGAGAACTTGCATTTCTTGTTGTGACCCGTGAAATGTGGAAATTCCGATGCTTCCCTACACCTTTCAATTGGCCCAAAACTCTTACGTCAACCTCCCGTCCTGCCAACTCACGTCCCCGAAGCCACGAATGCGCCCAGAAGAGCCCAATACCCCTTAATTAAGGGATGTACCTTTAAAGCATGTTCAGGAGCCCTATATACAGAAAGGTCTAATTTGGGATACTCGCCCTTTTACGAACAGTCCTTATTAGGGATCATGAAAGGGGTACTGTAATCCCTATTAAGGAGCTGATAGTACAAGCGGGAACATCCCAAGGTTTGTTCCTTAATTAAGGGGGTATGATGTTCTTGGAGGTTCATGGGTAGTTGCCCAACGCGCGGAAATTTGCCTTGTGTTTTTTCAGGTTTTCCTTCGGTTTTTCGCGGTTCCTGCTGGTTCTGGGGCGGGAGGGGGTGTCTGGGTGTGGTTTGAGGGGGGGTCTGGGGGGGGTGGGGGGGTTTGGGGGGGGGGGGGGGGGGGGGGGGGGGGGGGCCGGGGGGGGGGGGCCGGGGGGGGGGGGGGCGGGGGGGGGGGGGGGTGGTATTTATAGCGTTGTCGCCTCTTTGTACAACATACTGCACAAGGACCGAAGGATGGGGAACAAAAAAAGCTGTCACAAGCGCCCGTGCCTTTCGCGACCATGCCCAAGAAATGCACTGAAATCCCCAAAGCAACGTGTCAAAGAAAGGTAGGGTTTAGGGTTTAGGGTTTAGTTTAAACTAAGGAGCCTGAAAGAAAGTGCTTTTTTGCTCCGTACCACGCCTGCCAGCAGAAACGCACTGTCAAGCAGGCACACCGCGCCCAGGCAAAAATGGAGCGCGTTAACCAGGAAGTTATAAGTAGGGTTAGAAGTAGTCTAGGTAAGGCTACAAGTAAAGTAACCCCTAAACCCTAAACCCTAAACCCTAAACCCTATTTTTGGAACTAGCCATGAACCTGCAAGTTGGGCTCATTGGGTACTGTGCTGGCCACGACTGTATCAAAAATCGAGTTTCGCATGTTGCTGCTGCCCGGCCATGCCTCACCGTGCTCTCTGCTGGTTTAGGGTTTAGGGTTTAGGGTTTAGGGTTTAGGGTTTAGGATTTAGGGTTAGGGTTTCGGGTCTAAACGTTTACCTTGGGGACCAGTTGAACCCTAGAAGGGTTTATGGTTCAAATACCTCAATAGGAAATCTGATAGGACAGGGTATATGACGCCATTTGTAGGGTTCATTTGGTCCCCAAGGTATTACTGTAACACCCTGAGCCCTAAACGCCTTCTGGGGTAAACCCTAAACCCTCAACTCTAAACCCTCAACCCTCAACCCTAAACCCTAACTAAACCCTAAACCCTTAACCCTAAACCCTAAACCCTCATGGGGAGAGCCCGGCCTCGTTCAACCTTCAAGCAGGCCTCAATGCCCTGGACGACCTGGGCTTTGGATGTAGTAAACCCTAAACCCTAAACCCTAAACCCTAAACCCTAAGCCCTCCAGGTGTGTTAGGTGGAGCCGTACCCGCGATTCCTTGCCGCTTCGGGTTTTCTGAGGTGGGGTGCTTGCGATTTTGCAATGCGGTCTGTGTCAGATATCCCGACATGATGGACTGCTTGAGGGAGAGGGGGGGAGGGGGGGGTTCAAGGGGTGTATGTAACCCAAGGTTCCCTAATGCAGGCTCCCTAAGCTTCCCCCCCTCCCTGAAGAACCCCATAACTACACAAGATATGTTCTTTCCTGTTTTCCTTCCGCCACTGCGGCCGGAGATGCTTGTGAGGCGACGGCCTTACGATGGCGTGCCGCAGCAGCCCGGAACCCTAAACCCAAAACCCTAAACCCTAAACCCTAACTTTGCACCCTGAAGCCAAAAACCCAAAACCTATCTTCCCCGAAGTCTGAACCCTGATGCCCAAGACCTGGTAGTGAGGGTTCAGGGTTTTGGGTTTAGGGTTTAGGGTTTAGGGTTTACGGTATAGTGTTCAGGGTTCAGGGTCTAGGTAAACTCCAATTAGCCAAGAAGAACTATACTTTCAACCCTGATCAACCAAAACCACGAACCATAAACCCAACTGGCCCAATAAACCCTCACACATCAGTAAAAAAACCTTGCACCTCAAACCCTGATAAGCCCAAGAAGCGCCGATCGAAGAGACCAATGAACCCTAAACCCTAAACCCTAAACCCCAAACCCTAAACCCCAAACCCTAAACCCTAAACCCTAAACCCTTTATCAACCCTGAAACCCCCGCCCCTCCCTTACATCAAGCCCCGGCGGCGGATCCCATGGCATTGATGCAGGGCACCTCACCATGGTCGGAGAACAGCAGTTTGGGTTTTGGGTTTAGGGTTTAGGGTTGTAGGGTTTAGGGTTTAGGGTTTAGGGTTTAGGGTTTAGGGTTTAGGGTTTAGGGCGGGGGGGGGGGAAGCTTAGGGAGCCTTAGGAGTAGTGGGGAGTCTTAGGGAACCTTCCCCTTTGAACCCCCTGTCCCTTAAGAACCCGATAAGATTCAACTGGGGGTTCGGGTCATAGGGTCTGCAGGGATTAGGGTTTAGGGTTTAGGGTTTAGGGTTTAGGGTTTAGGGTTTAGGGCTTCGGGCTTAGGGTTTATGGTTTGGGGTTTGGGGTTTGGGTTTAGGGTTTCGGGGTATAGGGTTTAGGGGCAGAAAGGGGCGGGGGGGGGGGGGAGGCTTAGGCGTTTAGGGCCAAGGTGAGAAGGCTATAAGGGGTCCAGAGTTTATCACCTGCAGCTGGAGGCCGGCACTGAGGATAAAGGAGAGTCGCCAACGTTCACGATTTTGTCTTTGAGCCCGACAAACTCCCAAAGCCCAACACAATCCCAAATCCTAAATCCCTTGCCCTATCAAAGTCGAAGCCATCACAGCCCAAACCAACCCCGCTGCTTAAGTTGTATGGGGTATGTGTTGGGATGAGATTATGGCCATAAGTTTTCCAGCCGTAACATATTATGGCTGGGAGTTGAGGCGTTCGGCGTTGGGCGGAAACGCAGGCAGCATGTTGAACGGCACCGTGGCGCCCTCTCTCTAATCAAAGCCCCATCGCCCACACCCGACACGATGCGCACCCATCATTCGAAACACTAAGCTCTTGCGAACCTTCTCCGAACCCTTAACCCGAAATACAGAACCCTAACCCCCAAATCCTAAACCCTAAAACCCCAAACCCCAAACCCTACACCCCAAACCCTAAACCCTAAACCCTAAACCCTAAACCCTAAACCCTAAACCCTAACCCGAGATCTCTGACACCGAAGTGGGCCAGGGCACCCCCTGCCGCCCGCACTCGCTGACCAGGAAGTTGCCCAGCTGGGTGGACAAAGAGAAGATAATCATGGCCCCAGCCTGCCTGGGCTTTTTAGGGTTTAGGGTTTAGGGTTTGGGCTTTGGGGTTTAGGGTTTGGGGTTTGGGGTTTGGGGCCAGTTTGGGGTTCAGGGTTTAAGGAGTCAAGACCTGCCTTGTGAGGCTTATAAGAGTTTTAGGGCTTCGGGTTTGAGGGCCTACTCCCCTTCCCCCCCCCCCACTCCAGTAGCTATAAAGCTTGAAGGTTTCACTAAACCCTGAACCCTGAACCCTGAACCCAAAAGCCCCAACCCTAACCCTAAACCCTATACCCTAAACCCTAACCCCTAAACCCTGAATCTGGGAGCCCATGTCTTCCTAAAGAACTTGCTCTTTGTCAGCTCGCGACTCTAGGATTTACAGACTTAGTTATAGGGTTGGTCCTGCCCTTCCCCCCGTCCCCACAATGAACTCTCTTACTTCCAACAGACTAAATCCTAAAGCCTAAACCCTAAAACCCTAAACCCTAAAGCCTAAACCACCCTAAACCCTAAACCCGAAACCCTAAACCCCAAACCCGAAACCCTAAACCCCAAACCCTGAACCCTAAACCCTGAACCCTAAACCCTGAACCCTAAACCCTAAACCCTAAACCCTATACCCTAAACCCTAAACCCTGAATTTGGGATCCCATGTCTTCCTAAAGAACTTGCTCTTTGTCAGCTCGCGACTCTAGGATAAAACCCTAAACCTTAAAGCGGGTTTAGGGTTTCCTTAGACCACCCTAAGGTACCCTCAAAGACGGACACGCCCCTTAATCGCCGGGTGTCTTCCCCTCTGTGAAGGTAAAGGGGAATAAGGACGGACCCTCGAAGGGACCCTTAGTTTATTCGCTTGTATCACCCCTATGTACACCTTGTATAGCCCTCTATATACCTAAGTAGCCCCTATAGGGTGGGGCCCCCTTACTATACTAACTGTAGTTAAGGGACTTATAACCTAACTTAGGGTCCTTATAACCCAATTTAGGGCCCTTATAACTCTACTTATAACTAGGGGGCCCCACCCTGCATGTACACCTTGTATAGCCCCCTATATACCTAAGTAGCCCCTAAATTATCCCTAAGGAGCCCCGAAGATCACTTAGAAGAGTCCCGCCTTTAGCCCCTTGAGAAGGGTATGTGGGTTTAGGGTTTAGGGTTTAGGGTTTAGGGTTTAGGGTTTAGGGTTTAGGGTTTAGGGTTTAGGGTTTAGGGTTTAGGGTTTAGGGGTTACCCCAGAAACCGTTGAAGCCCGGGCTGCTCAATAGCAAGTGATTCCTCTGGCGCGTAGTTCGCTGCCTGCACGCGAGAACCCCTAAAACCTACGAAGCCAAAAAAACGCCCTGAGCCGTTTCTGGAGATTCTAACCCTAAACCCTAAACCCTAAACCCTAAACCCTAAACCCTAAACCCTAAACCCTAAACCCTCAACCCTCAACCCTAAACCCTGCTTGTTTGGGGAGCAGGTTGCCCAGCAACCTGGGCATCTCGAAGGGTACTCTTCTCGGTGTTTATGAGGTTTATCAGGGTGCCTATTACCTGCAGGGTGGGGCCCCCTAGTTATAAGTGGAGTTAAAAGGGCCCTAAAAAGGGTTCTAAGGACCCTAAGTTAGGTTATAAGTCCCTTAACTACAGTTAGCATAGTAAGGGGGCCCCACCCTGTACAAAAGGGAAAATGAGCACGACTGGGCATTCTAGGTGAGGCTGGTGCATGGCGCCTGTGAATGGGCTCATCGGGTTGAATAGGGTTTAGGGTTTGGGGTTTGGGGTTTGGGGTTTAGGGTTTAGGGTTTAGGGTTTAGGGAGAGCCCTTGATTTCGGAGGTGCTCCTAATTCGGGATCCTAAACGATTACACTGAATCCTGAACCAGATCTCCCTTAGCGTCTTCACACGGGCTCTTTCCTTGATGCAGGGATTCTCCCCCCCCCCCCCCCCCCCTCTCAAACTTGTGCCCTAAACCCTAAACCCTAAACCCTAAACCCTAAAGTCCACATCTTTCAGGATGGTGCAAAATATTGATGTGTTTCGGTATGCTTGTATGCAACCTCAGAAATATCTGCGTGTATATATATATATATGTTGATTTATTTATATATACATACATAAGCAAATAGTTACGCGAAAGCCAGGTAGACCCTACCTGCTCCACAGCCCGTTTGACATCCTCCTCTGTCTGCACGGCCGGGATGACATCGACCATGGCATTCTGCACATCACCTACGAGACTTTCCTAACAACACCCGTTGGCTGTATAGGATTTAAGGTGTACAGAGCTTACGGCTTTAGGACCCTTTTGGGTGAAGAAGCTGGCAAGCGCAGTTAGCCCAGGGTCTAGGGTGACAAGACTCTAAACCCGAAACCCTAAACCCGAAACCCTAAACCCGAAACCCTAAACCCGAAACCCTAAACCCCTGGAAAGGTCTGGGAGCCCTCTAGTAATCTCGGGCCTTGGGCCTCGGCTCTGCAACATCTCTTATGCTGAGGGCTTAGGGCTGAGGGTTTAGGGTTTAGGGTTTAGGGTTTAGGGTTTAGGGCTTAGGGTTTAGGATTTAGGGTTTAGGGTTTACGGTTTAGGGCTTAGGGCTTAGGGCTTGGGCTTGGTTTTTGTCGGGTTTATTATGGCTGAGGCTTTAGAGTGTTTGGAGGCGAGGTTCGCTTCGAAGGCCTACCTAGTCCCCAAACCCTGAAACGTACACCTCGAACCCCCAACCCTAACTCTTGAACCAGCAAAACCCCGAACCCCTCAAGCTGAAAACTTGACCCCGGTTTAGGGTTTAGGGTTTAGGGTTTAGGGTTTAGGGTTTAGCATGGGAGCCAGAGAACCGGGGAGGTTAGTCAGTCGAGTTTGTCTTCGAGGGGCTTCAGGGTGTAGGGTTAGGGTAAAAGCCCGAGCCCTCAGTGCAGAAACCCTGAACCCTAAACCGCTGAACCGGAAACCACAGTAATACAATAATGGGGGAATTTCATAGCATACGAAATCATACAACTAGAATGATATACGAATAGAATAGCATTAGAATACAATCATAGAACATTTATACAAGTACACTGACATAATCATACAAAGTACAATACACCAGTATCTTTATAAATACGAGTATACTCATATACTACTACACGAACATACTAGTACACTCATAGACGAACATACGAATGCACTCCTACACTAATATACGCACATACTCATAAAATATACGCATATACCCATCTACTAATATTCTAAAAAGGGAAAGTTTTTATACTACAATCACATATATACACTGAGCCCTAAGCCCTAAACCTAAACCCTAAATCCTAAACCCTAAACCCTAAACCCGAAACCCTAAACCCTAACCCTATTCAACGACACACTCTTCCCCTCCAGTCACACCCGACAAATCGGCGAGCCAAGCCGCCGAACTGTCGGAACCCCATCCTTACCGCCATCAGGGTGTGGGGATAGGGTTTAGGGTTTAGGGTTTAGGGTTTAGGGTTTAGGGTTTGGGGTTTAGGGTGATGGTATTTGGAGCTTTTTGGTGCTTAGGGCTTTGAAGTTTGGGTTTAAGGCTTAGGGGTTAGAAGATTGGGGTTCATAGAAGCTGTTTGAACTTCAGGGCGTGGCTTTTGCACCCTTGCGGTGTAAGGTGAGGCGCTAGACGTTCCGGATGGAAGCTTAAAGCTTTAGAAGTTTGGGTTTAGGGTTTAGGGTTTACGATTTAGGCTTCAGGGTCTAGAGGTTTGGCGTTTAAGGTTTAAGGGTTCAGAAGTTCGGGGTTTGGGGGCCTAAGCGTTCTGGGGCTTCTGACAAGTTGCACAGGAACCCCGAACAACCCAAGCTCACACCATCGCTTCCCATTTTCGTGCGGCCAGTAAAGCCTGAAGCCTGACCAGGAATCCGGAAACCACAACCCAAAAACCTAAAACACGTCAATCCTAACTCCTCAGCCCCTAAAACCCTCAAAACCCCCTAAACCCCTCAACCTTCTAAACCCCGAAACCCCTAAACCCCTAAACCACAAACCCAAAGTCAGTGCTGCCCCTAAACCCCCAACCCCCAAGCCCTAAACCCTAAACCCTAAACCCTAAACCCTCAACCCTAAACCCTAAACCCAAAGTCAGTGCCGGGCTTCTCTGCAATCATCTTGGCCACTTGCCCAGTGTTGTCCGACACTGCAAAGATAGGCTTCGGCGTGACGTCCTCTCAGGAGTGCAGGGTTTAGGGGTTTAGGGTTTAGGGTTCAGGGTGAAAGGGTAAAATGGGTTTAGGGTTTAGGGTTTAGGGCGAGAAGGCATGTCATGTAAGGGTTGAGAGTTTCGCATGGATGGATGGGTTTTAGGGCTTAGGATTTAGGGTATAGTGTTTCGGGCTTGGGTTTAGGGTTTAGGGTTTAGGGTTTAGGGTTTAGGGTTTAGGGTTTAGAGTTTAGAGTTTAGGGTTTAGTGTTTAGGGTTTAGGGCTCCGAATCCTGTATCCTAAATCAAAAGAGACCGACATGCAGGGGCACCGCATGCTTGAGCTGATGCCGCTGTGAAGCTTCCGGATTAGGGTTTCGAGTTTAGGGTTTAGGGTTTAGGGTTTAGGGTTTAGGGCCCAACCCCCAAGAACAGACGGCATGGATATGGCCTCAAGCGTTTTAAGGGGCGAGGGACAGCTGCAAAATATGAGGTGTTTACCGTTGAGGTTCTGGGCTGCCAGGTTGTGCTCAAGAATAACCCTAAGCCCCAGGTTCTGGGTTGGGGGATGTCAACCCTAAACCCTAAACCCTAAACCCTAAACCCTAAACCCTAAACCCTAAACCCTAAACCCTAAACCCTAAACTCATGCCCACGGTTCAACTTCAAAGAAGCATGTGCCACTTGTCTGGGCAGCTTTCCACGAAATTCCACACAAAGCAGCTTCCTGAATCACGGTCCCGTTCTTGCGGGACCGGGAATATGCGTTTAGGGGTTAGGGTTTTAGGGTTTGTTTAGGGTTTTCGGGGTTTGGGGTTTAGGGTGGGGTTTAGAGCAGGACCACTTCTCCAAAAACACGGCCCTTCTTACTTAATTATTAAGGGTGCCCAAAAGGGACCATATGTTGGAGAGCTGACTATATAACTCAAAAAAGTTACAAGGGACCCGCCCCTGCAGCCTCCGACCACGGTGCCACCGCAATGGTTCGCGTCGCTGCGAACATCCTTTGCTCGTGGCATCTTCAGGTGTCCAGGCTTGAGGGGGTTCAGTGTTTGGGGCTTAGGGCGCCACCAGCCTGAAATCATAAACCCTATTCACTTGAGAGCTCCTGGGGCCCTTAACCCGAAAATCATAAACCCATAAGACAAGAACTTCGCTCACGAAATCGTCACGTTAACCTCAAATGAGGGGTTTAGGGTTCAGAGCTTAAGGGTCAGCGTTTAGGGTTTAGGGTTTAGGGTGTAGGGCTTTGGGCTTAGGGTTTAGGGTGTAGTAAGTCCAAGGAGCTTTGCATCCTCGAGCGTTGCTCCAGGGACCTTGACTCGGTCTACGGGCCCTTACTTGGGGGGCAGCCTTACACCCAAACCCTAAACCCTAAACCCCAAACCCCAAACCCTAAACCCTAAACCCTAAACCCTAAACCCTAAACCCTAAACCCTAAACTGAAATTATAGGCCCCTGTTATAACCCACAAGACCTAAGACCCATACTTCAGAACCCGGTAGAGAAGGTATGGGACCATATTAAGGGACTGTGTAGCTTCCCTGTTTAAAGGGGTTTAGGGGTTTACGCTACGCTGTGCCCATGGTCGGTTTGGAGTTTGGGGCTCAATCCAAAACACGAAGTGTAACCCCCCCCCCCCCCCCACCCCCCCAGTATCGTACATATCTCTCTTGAAAATTTACTTGTTTCGGGCTTAGGGTTTAGGGTTTAGGTTTCCCAACAATGGAATATGATCATTGATCATTGTGCAAGAGTATGGGGGGGGTGGGGGGGGAGGGAACTTAGCTGGAGCCGAGGCAGCCACGAAGGAGTTGATCCTGGGCGCGTGAGGATTTGGGGTTCAGGCCTGAAGCCCCTGGACCTTAAAACCCTAAAGACCTTAAAGCCCTAAAATCCCTAAAATCCTCCAAAGCCCCTAAAAACCCGAAGCCCTAAACCATGAAACCCTAAAACTCCAAAACCCCTATAGCCTCTAAACCCCCCGTGAGCCCTAAGACCCCTAAACCCTAAACACTAAAGTTTTAAGACCTAAACACTAAGCCGCTTCATTTTGAGTGGCAAATTGTTCATGTGGAATCGCACAGGGACTTTCGTATGCAGGACACGCCTTTTGCAGCATGGACGGCCTATTACAATGAACAAGCAGATGAGGCTGCAAAGGCAGTACAAAGGGATCAGACGCAGCCTGGTTTTCGTCTTCACTTGTTGGCTCAGCAAGCGTATATGCGTTTACACGGTACAGCAAAGCAAGTCGCGAACCTGCAGTCCAATCTTTTGCAACTTAGCAAGGGCACTCACTCAAAGCAGCTACAATCTGTGCCTGTGGTTCCTGAAAGGCAGTTGCATGTCGAGGTTGGTACAGTCATTGACATCCACTGGCCTGTGGCCCGCATGTACAATGATACTATTCTTTCGCCGCCTTTCCTATATAAACTTCATGAGTTTCTTCAAGGACAAAGCTGGTGTGTTGCTATATCGCCGATAAGTCTTGCAGAGCTCTATGTGATTTTTGTTTCAGAAACCAACTGGATTTCCCCAGTAAACGTTGGAAGTTGGCCGTTGGAGCAGCAGCCTTCTAAATGGCGCAGTGCCATACCTGTGGCCTGGTTACATGAAACGCAGCATGAACCTTTGTTGCTTCATAGGCCAGCATTCAACAAGCGAGTCACGATCTTATTGCACAGCCCCAAGTATATCATAAAAGAGCTCAACCTCCCCTGGAGTTTGATTCGTGGCAAACACTTGAGCTGGTGCGACTGTTATAAAGATGTTCCTGGACTTTCAGTCTTTCCACTGGCTGTTCAGAAGTCAGCAAGACACCTTTTCTTGAAAACACTTGGTGCAGCCACATTTGAACACTTTGCAAAGTCCCGATATGATCCGCCTCTTAAACCTGTAGTGTATAGTGAAGAGATAACCAGCCCACAGCAGCGCTGGAATGCTTACTACCGCCAAAGGCGCGGGGCCCGAGGCAGATAATCATTTTGGTCGGTCTTCTGTTTTCTTTCACCCTAGCTAAAGGGCTAGTTGTCTCAGCCGTGGATGCGCCTGGGATGTCCGCAAGGATAGCATGCATAAACCCTAAAACCCCGAAACGTTTAGGGTTTAGGGGTCCAAGCTAAAGTCTCACGTTGTGAGGAATCCGGTCCCACAAGGCGCAAGCAAAATGGGAAGGGGACTGGCTACTGCCAAGCCCCGAAGAGATGGAGTATCTGATCCATGTGACGTTTAGAGGGTTTGGGGCTAGGGTCTAGGGTCTAGGGCTTAGGGTTTAGGGTTTAGGGCTAGGGTTTAGGGTCCGGGGTTTAGGGTTTAGGGTTTAAAAGGGGGCGGAAAGGGTCCTTGCTTAAGGGTTGTGGGAGACCATGCCAGGTGCTCATGGCCCAAGAGTAACCCAGGAGTAAAAAAGGTACCGGAATGGGCACTGGCAGTGTAAGACTGAGGAAGAGAAGGGATTTAGGGTTTAGGGTTTAGGGTTTAGGCAGGGGAGAGAGAGAGAGAGAGAGCGCGACCAAGAGCACGAGAGGAAGACAAGCACATTGGACAAGTCTGAGAAGAGAGCGCTAACAACCGAGTTTAGACAAGACTCCATTGGATTTGGTTCGGCAAACGACTTGACACCACCCCCTAAACAGCAAATCCAAACCCCAAACCCAAAACCCTAGTCCCCAAACACCAAAAGCCCACATGCAGCGGCGTGTCTGACCAGGTGGTGGATTGCGAATGTCATTCCACAGATCTTCGTCCTCATCCTTCGGGGTGGACAAGGGTCATCCGAGAAGGTCTAAACCCTAAACCCTAAACCCTAAACCCTAAACCCTAAACCCAAAACCCTAAACCCTAAACCCTAAACCCTAAACCCTAAACCCTAAACCCTAAACCTTACAGCCCAAACCCCGAGACTCAACTGTTGCGAAGCCGGCCCCTGCCTTGGATCTGCGATCGAGACCTTTCTCCGCGGCCTGGCCACCGGCAGAGGGGTTTAGGGTTTAGGGTTTGGGGTTTGGGGTTTAGGGTCTAGGGTTTAGGGTTTAAGGTTTGGGGTTTGGGGTTTGGGGTTTAGGGTTTGGGGTTTGGGGTTTGGGGTTTGGGGTTTGGGGTTTAGGGTTTAGGGTTTAGGGTTGGGGTTTGGGCCCAATACAGGTCCCCAAATACCAGGATTCCCTTAGAATAAGGATCCCAACAAGGTACCCCTAGTGTCGGAATTTCCATTTGGGGAACCCAGGGTTGAAGGTTTGTAGAGTCGGTTTAGGGTTTAGGGTTTAGGGTTTAGGGTTTAGGGATAGTTTAGGGTTTAGGGTTTCGGGAACCCTAAACCCTGAACCCTTCAACTCAAACCCTAAACCCCTAAACCCTAAACTCTTGAACCCTCAACCCTCAGCCAACAAAGCCTGAACCCTAACTTTACGGCATCTCCCGTGACTCGTCGTACACCTGCGCGGGTTCAAGTCTCGAGACTGATTAGCCAACTTGACGTTTAGGGTGTAGGGTTAAGGGTTAAGGGTTTAGGGCTGAAGATTCTGTAGGGTTTTAGGAAACCCTAAGCTCGACAAGTTTAGGGTTTAGGGTTTAGGGTTTAGGGTTTAGGGTTTAGGGTTTAGGGTTTAGGGTTTAGGGTATATACACCCGAGGTCTTAAACTAGGGCTTATAAGGCTTAGGGGTTTTGAGGGCTTTGGGCTTTAGGGTCGGTTGGGGGGCTTAGGGATGTTAGGGGATTTCGGGCTTTTGGGGTGTCAGGATTTCAGGAATTAGGGTTTAGGGTTGAGGGATGTTGGCATTGAGAGTTTTAGGGCTTTAGGGTGGTAGGATTTCAGGAATTAAGGTTTTGGGTACGGAGCTGGATCACTACAGGGCTACCGGCTAAGACGCAGGTCTAGGGCTTGGTGATTCGAAGTAGCTATGCGCTCCAAACTCTGGAAAAAAATGCCCCGGCTTAAGCCGAAATCCTGAACCCTAAGCCCTTAGCCCTAAACCCTAAGAAGGGTTTAGGGGCCCCGAGAATCTAGTTTAGCGCTCTGTAAACCTTCTAAACCTGAAGAAGGGGTCAGGGTTCAGGGTTCGGGGTTCAGGGTTAGGGCCCGCAATGCTCATACCTTGACACAACATCTGTGAGGCCGCGGCGACTCTCATCCGACACATAAGTTTAGGGTTCAGGGTGCAGGGTTCAGGGTTTAGTAAACCCTAAACCCTAAACACTTAACCCTTAACACTTAACCCTAAACTCTAAACCCTAAACCCTAAACCCTAAACCCTGGCTCAAGTTTAGGGTTTAGTGGTCGTGTCCCACCGAGTTCAAAGCGCACGGCCCAAATCCTGGCTCCCGCGGGCCGGCTCTCCAGGTAGCTGTCCCTAAACCCTAAACCCTAAACCCTAAACCCTAAACCCTGAACCCTGAACCCTGAACCCTGAACCCTGAACCCTAAAGCCACTTGGCTCAATACGTCTAGGTTTTATGGTTTATAGGGTTTAGGGTTTATAGGTTTAGGGTTCAGGTTTAGGGTTTAGGGTTTAGGGTTTAGGGTTTAGGGTTTGGGTTTAGGGTTTAGGGTTTAGGGTTTAGGGTTTAGGGTTTAGGGTTTAGGGTTTAGGGTTTAGGGTTTAGGGGTTTTCAACGTGCCGCCTCAGAATGGCCAAGGGATAATGCCAAAACCGATCAAAAGTGCAGTCATCACGCAAGAAGGCGCTGATGAAGCTCACCCAGCGTTGCGCTGTATCCCACCAGCTCACCGATCTTTTGACACCTTCCTTTTGGATATTCCTCTTGACGTGCTGCAGACATCTGGCTAATGGCAGTGCCGTCCCCAAGTAATCCTGGAATCCTTTCACCAGGCCGGTGCCGCCATCCAGATGAGCAAGTTTTGCATCCTTCAAAGTTCAAACACTGGGTTTAGGGTTTAGGGTTTAGGGTTTAGGGATTAGGGTTTAGGGCTAAAGTCTGTTGGTTAGAGGCAGGATGAAGGCCCACGGAACTTTATTTCCCAAACAACCCAGCAAGTTCAAAGCCCTGAACTACAGTATGCCTCCCTAAACCCCAAACCCCAAACCCTAAACCCTAAATCCTAAACAGTAAACCCTGACAACCCTGAACCCTGAACCCTGAACCCTGAACCCTGAACCCTAAACCCTAAACCCTAAACCCTAAACCCTTAACCTAAACCCTAAACCCTAAACCCCCCGGACGGAGTTGTGCCGCATATACTCTGAACTGACTTATGAATAGGTACCTTGATCAAGAAAGAAGGGAGTTACGACACATCTCAGAGAAACCCAACCCTAAACCCTTAACCCTGAACTCTAAACCCTAAACCCTAAACCCTAAACCCTAAACCCTGAACCCTGAACCCTATACCCTAAACCCTAAACCCTAATCCCTAAACCCTAAACCCTAAGCCCACCTGCATCCTCACGGAGCGGGCCCGGGCTAGGTCACCCGTGCAGCCATTGCTTCCTGACGGCTGGGCTCTCATTTAGAAGCAACTGACCTTGGGTTTAGGGTTTAGGGTTTAGGGTTTAGGGTTTAGGGTTTAGGGTTTAGGGTTTAGGGTTCAGGGTTCAGGGTTTAGGGGCTTAAGGGGTTTAGGGTTGAGGGTTTAGGGCTCCGCGTTAGCTCCCACACACATCACTTGAAAAAAAGGGACGTGCATCTTCTTTATCTTGTTAGCCTGACCCGGAGGTGGATTGGCTGGGGAGGTTTACCTATGGCTGAAGGGACCGACCAAAGGTTTAGGCTTTAGGGTTTAGGGTTTGGGGTTCAGGGGTTAGGGTGCAGGGTTGAGGGTTTCAGAAACAAACCTGACAGCCTCAACAACTTCCAAGCCTATAACCCTCAAACCTGATAGGTGCCAAAATCCCGACCTCTCTCGCCCCCCCCCTCCATAAAAGAAAAGAACTGCCTAGCGAAACATAACATATACCCTTAACATAAAGCAAGGGGAAAGACAGCAACAAGTGCATAGGTTACGTACTCTACGTAACACTGGAGCCAGTAAACCCTAAACCCTAAACCCCAAACCCTAAAGCCTAAAGCCTAAAGCCTAAACCCTAAACCCTAAACAGTTTCTAAGAAGCGGTCTGTGGCATGCCTGCCCGCATCCTCTGGCGCTCCGTGGCCAAAATGCCGCCGCCCAAAGCGCACATCAGGCACTGCCTCAACCACAAGTTTTCAGCTTCATATAGGCATGTAGGGTTCAGGGTTTAGGGATTAGGGCAGCTTAGGGTTTAGGGTTTAGGGTTTAGGGTTTAGGGTTTAGGGTTTAGGGTTTAGGGTTTAGGGTTTAGGGTTTAGGGTTTAGGGTTTAGGGTTTAGGGTTTAGGGCGGCTTAGGGTTTAGTCTCGAGATATCCTCTCAACGAATACCGGCGCTTGTACTAGCCAGGAGCTTGGGGCCTACTTTGGCCTGATGACGTCCCCTCTGCAGGTATCGGGCACCAATTACCCCCCCGTATCCTAGGACTATATTTAACACTCTCAAACCTTCAAAAACTACAGTACCCACTTTGGGTATCAGCTCTGAAGGCAAAGCTGCAACCCCCAAACACTCATTGCCAATTCCTCTCGCGTTGGTCGCCTGTTTCCAATCTCTCCCTCACTCCCTCACTCGCTCTCTCCCTCTCTCCGGCTCGCTCTCTCTCTCTCTCTCTCTCTCTGTCTCTCCTTTTTCTTCTTATTCTTCCTATTTTCTTTTTATTTTTTCTTCTTCCGTGCACTTGAGAGCCCTCCCTCTCTCTCTCTCTCTCTCTCTCTCTGCTCTGACACCAATGTGACCCCTCAACATGCAACTCAAGGCGCAAAGGTTGGCGGTGGGGCTGCCTGGCGACCTGCCAGAGGCATGCAGGTGGCGGTCGGAGCTTAGGTGAGACCCAGGAGAGTAGCCTAGGAATAAAACAGGGTACCCTTTTTGGTTTTCAAGGGGACTATAAGGGACTCTAAAAAGAAAAGGAAATAAGGGCCCACTCCGGGTCCTATAGTCTTAGTAGCCCAGTAACCATCTTTCAATAAGGGCACCCTTTTTTGGGTTGGTTACTATATAAGGGAACCCATAACCCCAAAAAAGGGAAAAGGGTGCCACTGGGCTACTCAGTAGTAAACCCTAAACCCTAAACCCTCAACCCTAAACCCTAAGCCCTAAACCTTAACCCTAAACCCTAAACCCTAAACCCTAAAGTCTGGGTGTGTGAGGAGTGCCGGGCCTTCAGCATGGGGCGTTGCCACTTATAGGGCTTAGGCGAGCATGGAAACCGGAGGCTCTCCTCATCCGAAGCCCTGCATCCCTAAACCCTAAACCCTAAACCCTAAACCCTGAGCCCTAAACCCTAAACCCTAAACCCTAAACCCTAAACCCTAAACCCTAAACCCTAAACCCTAAACCTAAACCGGCCTCACAGGCCAGCAGCGCCTCCCGACCAGCACCCGGCGCTGCCCGCCGTGGAGCACTGCAGCTGGACCTCTCATTTTGTAAGGTTTAGGGTTTAGGGCTTAGGGGTTAGGGTTTAGGGTTTAGGGTTTAGGCGTTAGGGCTTAGGGTTTAGGGATTCGGGTTTAGGGTTCAGGCTTTAGGGTATAGAGTTTAGGGTTTAGGGTTCGGCTTTAGCTTTCGGCTCCAAGCAGCTCAAGAATGGGCCCTTTTCGGTTTAAGACTTAAGGTGTTGGGTCTTAGGTTCCGGTCAGGGGTCTGGGGGCTTGGTGTTTAGGGCTTTAGGGTTTGGGGCAGGGTCTGAGCTTAAGGCTGAGGATTGGGGATTTAGGGCTGCGGATGGTAGAACTGGCAACGGAATGCAACGAAAACATGCCAAACTGCCAAAGGCAATGACAGCTGGAAATGCGCAAATCCTGCCACATCCCAGCCCAACAGGGTAGTCCTCTGAACTTGGGTCCGTGCTGGGGTCTTCCTTTAAGGGTGCCGTAATATATCGGTAAACCCTAGGCCCTAAACCCTAAGCCCCAAACCCCAAATCCTAGTTCGGAGAAGTGCCCACAGGCTGACAACCGGTTGCGTTGGTGAGTTCACGAAATTCTGAGTTCTTTTTTGCGAATCCCTCCTACAACGCGGGCCACTTTGTAGGGTCCCCGAAGAAAAGAGTTTAGGGTCTGCAGGGTTCAAACCCTAAACCCTAAACCATAAACCCTAAACCCCAAAACCCTAAACCCTAAACCCTGCAATCTGCTGGAGTCCGAGGTCGAAGCCTTGCTGAGCAGGGACTCAGGGCCAGCATGGCGTTGGGAACGTGGGCCATGGGAGGCAATCTTGTAGTGCTTGACTGCTTGACTACTGCTTGCTTAAGAACCCCACACACATGAAAGATAAGAATGCCTCTGTTGCCCTTATAAGGAAGCATCTTTGTTCAAAGTTGTTGTTGTTGTTGTTGCTTGTTTTTTTTTTTTTTTGGGGGGGGGGGGGTTCTTAAGCAATTTGCAGTTGATGCTCATAGGACTTGATTCGGTCTCAGGGCCCTGGTGGAAGCTTTGGGGTTTGGGTGTAGGGGCATACAGGGTGGGGCCCCCTTACTATACTAACTGTAGTTAAGGGACTTATAACCTAACTTAGGGTCCTTATAACCCAATTTAGGGCCCTTATAACTCTACTTATAACTAGGGGGCCCCACCCTGTAATAGTTTATGCATCCAAGGTCCGAATGACTTTTGAGGTTTAGGGTGTAGAGCTATGGCTTGGGGTTCGGGGTGCAATGAACGTGGGGCCTTTTGACCCGTAAAGCCTTCAAAGGTCGATCTACTCAAATATGCAGTCTCGGGTTCAGGGTTTAGGGTTTAGGGTTAGGGTTTCGGGTTCAGGGTTTCGGGTTCCTTTACGTGGTTAGGCAGATCTCTCGATTCTGCCGCACTACATTGGGCATCCCAAAGGGACCGTCTATGTAGGTTCCATCATTCAGCCGTTTAGGGTTCAAAGTCTAAGCTTGCAGGCAACCTCTGGCAGAAAGGGCGCCCCTTGAAAAAAAAACAAGTGTATATATCAAAAAACAAATATACGTCAATACATAAACCCTAAACCCGCGTTCGGGGTTGAGTAGGGCGTGAGAAGACTGTAAAAGCCCTTCAATGAAACAGGTACACCCTACACCCTAAAGCCTAAAGCCTAAACTCTAAAAACCCGAAACCCTAAACCGCGTGACTGTTCGGTATCTATATACCTCGGCTAGGGTTTCGGGATTTAGGGTTTAGGGATTTGGGGTTTAGGGTTAAGGGTTAGGGGTTAGGGGTTTAGGGTTTAGGGGTTTAGGGGTTTAGGGGTTAGGGGTTGGTTCAGGGGTTCAGGGGTTCAGGGGTTTAGGGGTGTAGGGGTTTAGGGGTTTAGGGGTTTAGGGGTTTAGGGGTTTAGGGGTTTAGGGGTTTTGGACTTAGCGGTTTAGGGGTTCAGGGTTCAGGGATAGGGTGGCCGTGACCACAAGCCGTTCAAGCACAAAGCCCTGCCAATTAGATCCACCCCATAACTAAGGTGCGATTCCCCTCTTCAAGGGTATACAGCTTACTCTTACTCCAAACTGTAAACCCTAAACGTGAAACTATAAACCCTAAATCCGAATCCCCGACCATTAAAGGCGCATCGCTCCAATCTCAGCCTGCGCGCCAGAATTTTCGGGTTGAGGTCCATAGGGTCGCCCTTTTCATGGGTACACAAAACCTTCAAGGGGTCGTAGTAGAGCAGGGTTTAGGGTTTATAGGGTTTAGGGTTTATAGTGTTTAGGGTTTAAGGTTTAGGGTTTAGGGTTCAGGGTTTAGGGTTACCTTCCTCGAAAGGTGAAGCCCGCGCACTTTCATACAGATGGCCATGTGGGTGTAGGACTGCCAATGACAATGTCGACCCCCTGCTGCATGACGTGCGTACGTCACTCAGGGGGCCCCGCATCATAGTTGGAGCTCAGGATCAAGACTCGCCCTAAACCCTAAACCCTAAACCCTAAACCCTAAACCCTAAACCCTAAACCCTAAACCCTAAACCCTAAACCCTAAACCCCAAACCTTAATCTCTAATCCCTCATCCCTAAACCCTGAACCCTAATCCTTGAACCCTGAACCATGAACCTTCCCAGCCAGACTTAGCCCGCCAGCAGTTGGCACTTTGCGGAAGGTCTTTGAGGTTCACGTGGGATGAGGATTTATCTGGGGCGGGGGTTGAGGGGGGTGGGGGGCTGGCGTTGCCTAAAAGAAAATACATATACACATATAAATATACACACACATGTATGTGAACTTCTAAATATATTTATAAGCATAAGAATAAGAGAAAAAATGCTATTGATTAACGTTAAACAACGATAGTAACTAAGAACAAACTGTGAAGAGCAACTCGCAGCCCAGGGCCGAAAGATGAGGCCGTGCCTGGCATTCCTCTTCTCCACCAGATGAGGCAACATTGGGAATAGGGTTTAGGGTTTGAGTCAGGGATTAGGGTTTAGGTTTAGGGATTAGGGTTTAGGGTTTAGGGTCCCCCTCAAGGACTGCGTGAAGGGAAATAGAAGCTACCGCTTTTTGTTCACAAGTTCTCTAAACCCGAAACAATGACCCCTAAACCCCAAACCCCAGCCAAACCCCAAACCCCAAACCCTAAACCCTAAACCCCAAACCGGTGAAAAAAAGAACGTCTTCTTCCTGAGCTCCCTAGCATGGGAGGGTTTCCTGCCGACTGAGAGACCCAGGTCTAGGGTTCAGGGTTCAGGGTTCAGGGTTTAGTTCTGTGACGCGTGGAGTTCGGTTTGGGTGTTAGGGTCGTTCCATGGTCACTCCGGTTTTAGGGGTTAGGGCTTAGGGCTTAGGGCTACATGCCCTTAACATGGGCCCTTCAGTGGGGAACCCTGGATTTTCCCCCTTATATACCCTCACACCCCCGGGCCCCTACTTCAGAACCCTTTAAGGAAGGTAAGGAACCATGCTATAGGGGACCATGTAGCTTCCCTTTGATTGTGCTTTGAGGTTGAATGCTCGGGTTTAGGGTTGAGGCTTTCTACGACGTAACTCGCAGGGCAAGCGGTGGCATGCACTTCTGACACAAGGTCGAGAGAGGGAGATTCCCTAAACGAGGGTTATTGTGCGGGTTATCTTATGACTCAGAGCCGTAGGTTTAGGGCTTATAAAGTACCCAAACAGGGTTAGACTACGTACCCTAGAAGCTGGATCAGGCAAGCAAATTCATGTAGCTCAACTGCCCCAAACTCTAAACCCTAAACGTTAACCCTAAACCCTAAACCCTAAACCCTAAACCCTAAACCCTAAACCCTAAACCCTTGAACCCTGAACCCAAATAGTGACTTAGGTAGAGGGACCCTGAGGCGGCTTCGCGTTCGCGCGAAGTTTTGTGGGGGGTTTGCGAAGCTCGGGGTTGAGGTGTTTGGGGTTTAGGGTTTAGGGTTTAGGGTTGGGGTTTAGGGTTTAGGGCTTAGGGTTTAGGGTTTAGGGTTAGGGTTTAGGGTTTAGGGTTTGGGGTTTGGGGTTTGGGGTTTGGGGGCTTAGGGCCTAATCTCGGGGGGTTCGAGGTAATTAGAGGTAAGAGTCGGGGTTAGGGATGTAGGAGTTCAGGGTTTAGGGGTTTTAGGGGTTAGGCTTTTTTGATGGGGTTTAAGGGTTTAGGAGCTTAGGGCTTAGGGGGAAGGTTAGGGCTTGTGAAACTCATCCACCGTGCGGAGAACACCCCTCCGATTTTCTAAATGAAGTTCAAATGAGTTTGATGGAAGAGTCGCCGAGGGGCCTCCGTAGGCGCGCGCGGAAACCAGCAACAAATCAACAACAAATCTGCAAACCGAATCCCCAAAATTCCTTGAATACTAAACTCCAAAGTACAAGACTGAACCCTTAAGACCTAGGCTCCAGCTTCCCCAGCCGCAAACCCCAAAACCCCTAAAGCCCGAACTCCGAAACTCAGAACCCCGAACCCCACTGGGTTTTTTAGCCCCCAGTTGAAGGATTTAGGGTTGCGGGCCCTCCTGAACCTCACACAGATTCCCTAAACCCTAAACCCTAAACTCCCTGGACCCTACACCCCAAACCCTAAACCCTAAACCCTAAGCCCTGAACCCTAAACCCTAAACCCTAAACCCGCCAATTGGTGGGAGGCCCCAGCAGGGCGCGACATAAGGAGGTGAGCACAGGCTCCGGCCCTGCTCCGAATTCACAGACGTTTAGGGTTTAGGGTTTAGGGTTTAAGGTTTAGGATTTAGGGTTTAGGGTTTAGGGTTTAGGTAAGGGCCAGGCTTTAGTTCTATGAAAATTTGGGGTTCAGGGATAAGGCTTATGCCCGCGACGGTTTGGTGAGGAGAAGTGACCTCTGGGTTTTGAGGACAAGTAGGGTTTGGGGCCTGCAAGGTTATGGGAAACAGGTTTCTTAGGGTGCAATTCTCTGGCGAAACCCTACACTCTAAACCCTAAACCGTTGTGATCTTGAGCAGCCGTAAGACCCTAAACTCAGTCTGGGGTTTAGGTTTAGGGTTTAGGGCAAAAGCTTGCAGGTCCGAAGCAGCAATGCTCGCCCTCCAGGAATGCAGCTGGCAAGGCAGGTGGACGGAGGAACCAAACCGGCAACGGAAACAACCTAACCCCAAACCCTAAAAACTAAACCCTAAACCCAAAACCCTAAACCCTAAACCCTCAACCCCAAACCCACAACCTAACTGAAACCCTAGCCGCGCCCCCCTAGGATGGCCCGTTAGACTTGAAACGCTCTGAGCAATGATCCTAAACCAGACCCCCTCAAATTCCCCCAAAAAGTCTTCCTGACAAACTACTATTTGCTTAAGAACCCCCCCCCCCCAACAAAGTGGACCATCTTCTTCCTTACAAGAGGGCAATGTGGGGATTCTTCTCTTTCGTTTTTTTATTTTCGGGGGTCTTAAGCAAATAGTAGCCAAGGGCCCTAAACTCTGAACCCCAAAAAACTAAACCCTCAAATTTCGCCTCGTGCACGTCTCACCGATCGATGCCCCAACTCGCAGGACACGAACCAAATGACACAGGGCACCAACAAGTGCCCCCCAACAACATGAAAGATGGTAAGCCGATTATTTATTGCCTTTTTTTCTGGGGGCGGGGTCTTCAGCAATCAGTAGAAACCGATGCTCTTAAATCACGAGCTCGTGTCCGTCACCCGCGCCCGCGTGAATTAGTTTTTGTACAAATCCAAGGGACTGGTAGCCACCAGTTTTCATGACAGTTCCGTCCGTTGGAACTCGTTTTCTATTCTAGCCCCATCTTCGGGTGTACCCTCATA